GGAGGATTTTGTTACAAAAAAAAGGAGGGGGTTTTCTTGCATCTACGCTGTACTGAAGGCAGCAAATCATGACTCTCCTCTCAACAGCTTTACTACATTCCTTCTCTTGTACCTTTGTCTCTCAGGGCTTCTCCATAAAAGATTATAAAAACTACAGTACTTTGGGATTGTAGTTTGCAGTTTGGTGGATACAGCATCTCACATATCAGACTAATGATACTGGTTAGGATCCTTCTATACAATTAATTTGAATATCACAAGCAAAATCTTGCCTACTGTCAGTGACACTTGCGTCCACAATGGCTGAATTTGCTACAGCCCCAGAGAAGTTGAGGAAATCCAAGGGTTGTCTGGTTCCTATTACGCTTACACATGGCTAGGCTGTTACAGCTTGGTGGGAGGTCATTATACAAACCTAAGCATGACCCTATTCTCTGAGCACTTAGAGTCAAGGTTAGCTATTTGACTGGATGTATTTCAATCATGCCACTCTCTCTGCTAACTATAAGCTTATAAAATTCCTAGAGAAAATAACATAAATTAGCATAAACCTAAAGTCTCTCTAACTTATCCCAGCAGAAAGCAAGCCTTTGCACAGACAGAACAGCATGGCGCTACTGCCCTGGAAGGCTGGCTGATCTGTGTATCTCTGTACCTTCTCAATGACATAAGAACTCAAGTCATTAATCCCATATTAAGGCGGGCTGTTTAGATGTTGGGCTGTTCACCTCATTCAGAGCTCTCATACACAGCGTTAAGGTTTGGGGTTTTTTTTCACGTGGAGAAGGTCTGGTTAAGGTCCACTGGTCAAAATGACCCAAAATTACAATGTGAGACTCAATCTGCAATACAGGGGAGAGAAAACTTGTTCCCTTATTTTGTTCATTTTATCCAGTTCGAAGGTCACCTCTACTGCCTGTGTGCCTACAGCACAAGGAAGGCATCTTGAAATTCTCACATTGAGAAATACATAACAACACAGACTTCTAGGTCCTGCTTTCAGCATAGTGAAAAGTAATAGACAGCCATATTACCAAGCAGGAAATAAGGGAAAATAATAATAATAATAAAAAAGTTAAACCTGCAGATGAAACACATCTTTTAGGTTGATGACTTGGTATATGATAGCACTTTGATTTTATCAATCAGAAAACAATTTGACTTCAGTCTTTTCTTCTGGGTATTATGGCCAGGATCATACCAACACTCTAATCTAAAAGGATCTATTCTAACTGAAGCATTATTTATTCACATGCTTTATTATTCTGTTTTATAGAAAAATGTAAGGACAGAATCTCATTAACTGAAGAAAAATAGTTTTCTTTTTTAATGCCATGATCATGGTAGCTCTGCAATCAAGGGTAATGTTTAAAACACTGAATGTACCTAGAGATATAATGTGGCAAGGAAACTTTCCATGCATTCAATGAGAGATGTCAGCACACAGATAAAATACTAATCCCTTGTTATCAGCTCTAGGTACCACACTAAAGGCAATTGTCAGAAATTCTCAGCAGAAGCTGACAGGACCAAAACAGGGTTCATTTAGGGTCACTGGAAATTCCTGCTTTATCTGCATAAAAAATTCAGCAAGTACTTTAAGAGTCTTGCTTTCCAGCAAAAGTTTAAGGAATTAAATGTAGCCACATACTAACGGCAAGCAATTGTTTGAACCCTAGATCCTCAAAAGTATTTAAACACTAACACCTACTGATTTCCAGGAAAAGCAATCCAGCACCTTAGCCCAAATGCCCTGCTAGGTAGAGAAGTATAAATCTCTCTGAAGTCAATATGTCTGTCCCATCTGTATGTCTGCTTTATGGCAGTTAAGGTGACGGCAGAGAATTGACATCAAATTAGGAAAATTATTTGAGTTCTTAACTATATTTTAACTCCCTGCTCTTTCTGACAAAGGATAATTAACTTTTTTTTAATTCTCTGAAGGTACAGTAATATCCACAGATAAATTCATATTGGATTTTATACATATTTGGTATATACTTTGTTTATTGTCTCAGTGTTCAGCCATTAGCAGTGAATCTCTGTGTTGTTATACAAACCCGAAAACAACAACTACATATAACAATCAGTATCTGCCTTAGGACACACAATAAGCTGAAGAGAATGATCTGAAAATGCTTTAGAGATGCTTGCCAAACCAAGACTTACTGTTTATAGCTAGAACAGATGCCTGCTAATTCAGGTGGGCACTTAAACTATAAAAGCAGATTATGTCTACACACACATCTTTGAGCCACCTGCACTATGGCCGTGGCTACGCCAGCCGTTCATCCAGTGGCTCCCCCAGCCGTTCATCCAGCCTGAATGAAAGGTGTAGAAAGGCTGCAGTGTCCACTTTAACATTTTAAGCTGGTAATTATACTGGGATTTACCCAGGATGTGAAAACTACAAACTCCTCCAATAAGCAAATCCATCATTCCTGGGTTAGTGCAATACTGTGGCCTTGGTTGATGATGTCTGAACCCCAGATCTTTGACTATTTATGTGTATATATAAATTCCTACCCCAGGCGTACAAAAAGGGCTAGAGAACTGAACCAGGAGTCAGTTATGAAAGGTAGAATGATCTGGTGGTTGCATCATGGCTGAAAAGCAGAGAAGCTATGTTTCCTTTCTTTTTCTCAGAAATGTGCATCCACTGACATCTGGCAAGCTGGTAGAAATTTCCTATGCTTCATTTTCTTCACTTGTAAAACCTGATTCATCAGTAATGTTGATAATTTAAACTTTCCTTCATCAGTGTTTTGAAAAGGGTAGTCAAAAAAGGTATTTTAAGGTAATCTTTAACAGAGTGTATATGGGGAAGGATAACCATGGGCAGAGAACAGAGCGGGAGTTCCAGGTTGCTGCTCAGAGCTCTACCATTGCCTGTTTGGAGACTAGAAAAACAGCATTGCACCTCTGCATCCCTCAGCTTTCCCATCCATAAAATGGAGACAACAGTACCAAGCTTCAGTTTATAAAGCACTCTGACTGAGGACTGAGAAAGTTACATTCATATTGGCATCTTGCTTCCAGGAACTATATTTTCAGAAGCACACTATCACCTCCCTCTTCCACTTCTACTGAACATCCCATTTGAAGTTAACAACTTCCTACTGTTATAATGTTGTTAGTGATCCCAGTCAGGAACAGAGAGCTAAAATGAGCAACAAAAACACAGGCCTTCATTTAGAGACATAATCTGTTTAATAAATATGACTGTAAAAGCAATAAACAATAGCAATTATACATTACGCTACATTGTATTTAACGAAAGGGCAAAAGAAGATGAAAAAGTACATCAAAAAAAGTAATTTTAAAATTAGAAATAGTTCCAACACTATAAGAAAACTTTTTGATTGGCTTACTATAAAAATAAGTTGGCTAATGTTGGACTTCAGTCGAGAGTATTATACAGTTGCTGCCAAAACTTTCCCGTCTTTCTTAAAGCTGTAGTTGCAAAGACAATAGCAAAGCCATACAAACTGCTGTGATTCTACCTGTCTTCAGAGAAACTACAGAAAGATGCAGAGGACTCTACTGAGATTATCCTATAACTACTATGGGTCTAACGTTCTTACAGTTGGTACCACGTTTTTTCTTTGCCAGCAAGTAGGTTGATTTGGGCTCATGCCTAGTTTGTGACAGAGAAATTCAAACTCACCACCATCAAACTCCCACCCCGGGACTCTGGGCAATCCCAACAACACTGCTTTCTCCTGGTTTTGACTCAGACTGCTATGCACAATGTCTACTGAACAAAACCCACTCATGTTAGGAATCAAGGTGCCTCCTAAGTGAGCTACGTTGATTATGAACCGGCCTCTATTCGCCTTCCCCTAATGCAGTTTTAAGTAAGTATATATTGGTTACTGTCTTTATCTCTTTGCACTTCAAACCAAAAGCCTGGTGCTAGGTTTACCTGAGTTGGGTTGGAAATCAACAGCTGTGATGACCACGGGTTAGGCTTCAGCCAGATATCCAGTGTCTTGGAGGACTTATTCGAGGTATGCTAAGCCTGCTTTCCTGCTGTTTCCTTGCATAGTATATGTGAACATGTCTTGCAGCCTCATTTCTAGTTGCAGTATAAGATATAAACTTATGTTATTGGTAAGAAATCAAATCTTGTACAAGAATGATCCTGTGGTGCTGGGGCTCAAAATGCATGGCAGCAATCTCAGGCCAAATCTTCCTTTATTCTCCCTCCTCTTCCTGGAGTGGCAAGAGTTTTCAGATGTGCAACCAAGGGGGGTTGCCAAGAAGGCCATCGGAAACTGCATGCAGACATTTCCCTGCTCACTCTTCTATGGCCAAGGTGTTTTTCAAAAAATTGGCAGACCCTGGGGTGACTCCCAAAAGGCAGAGATCTCCTGGGACTTCCCCAGACAAATCCAAACATCAGCACTAAATGCAGCTGAGAGTGTTCCTAAGTCTTTCTCTTAGCCAAAACTGAAGGTGTAATGCTGGTACAAAGTACAATGTAAGTTCATGCGGGCAATAACCTCCTACAAGTGCATTATGGACAGCCCTCCCTGCCTGTAAATGCATGCTAGTTCTGTTCCATTTGATTAGGAGGCTAAAAGTTATCTTTCAACAGTGCTATCAATGGGATACCTTGGTGTGAGTAGGCTAAAAAAGCTGTTTAAGAAAGAGCCTGGCCTTGCGGTTGGGATCGCCCACACTCGTACTTGGCCTCCACACAGCAGTGGGGCACAGACAGCAGCTGCAGCTAGAGGAATGAAGGGCAGAGTCCAAACAAAGACATAAACCAGACCGACCAAGAATATTTTCAGTGCCTTTAAACTCCAGTGTGATTTTTTGTGTGTCCTATGAAAGTCTGCTGGGGCGGCTAGCCCTCCCGCAGGCAAAAGTGCTAAAAGAGCAGTTAAGTCTAAAGCCAAGAACCCTAAATACCCCCTCCCACCTCCCCCAGCCCTTCTCCCCCCACATCCTAACCCACCCCTCTCCCTAAAGAAGACACCCCCATGCATATTCTTGGCCTATATAATTATGACTTTTCTACAAATTAGAGACAGATCAGAAAAAAAAGGAGTGGAGGGGTGAGGGGAAGGGCTGCAGGAGTGAATAGTGGTACCAGTTCCTCTCCCCCCACCCCCCACTAAAGTTGAACACCTGTACAATGCAGTTCCACTATGGTCTCAGTATAATGTCCACATGCACAGGCTTAAAGCTAAAAACCCTTTGTCATCTGAAGAATTAAAAAGTCCAAATGCAGTGAGCTCTCCTCTTTTTTAGATATAGATCTATATTGGTGTCCTCAATTCAACCATTTACATAGGTAGGGATTTCTTTTGTGCTCTGGGGCTCAGCAGCTGTGGAAATACTTCCTGTAGCAAAGAAAGAACAAAATAAAAGTCAGTAAATAAAAAGTGTGTTTAGCCAAGGAAGATGTATGAAAGTATCGCATTGCAGGCTTTTAGGATTCAACTGTTCCAAACTGACAAGTTCTTCCCAGAAATTTTTTCTTGTCATTCAAAACACTGAAGGTGATGTCCTGTTCCTTTGCTAATGAAGATGATTCACCCATGTTGAATAGAAAAGGGAGAGACCAGAGCAGAGGGGTGGAGGGAAGGAGGGGTTGAAGTCCTCAGAGGAAATGTGTAACTAATTTGCAATTATAAGTTATTGGAGATTTCGTAAGTAACCTTAAGATTTGCATTTGCAAAAGAAGAGTCTAAACCACTCGCATCCAGAAAATACAGTCTTTTGCTGCCAGAGTTTGGAGAGAAAATTAAATGATCCAGGGACATTCATTCAGATTCTTCCAAGGAAGGATCCTTGAATGTTAGTAAAAGGGGTTGAAAAAACCTGGCTTCTGAACAACCATACAAAAAGAGAAACACCCAATTACAGTCTTGCTTCATTTTCTCAAAAGAAAAACAATGTCGTAAAAAAAGAAATTGCTGATTTCCAGAAACAGATGAGGTGGTTGTATAGGAGAGTGAAGAGCCTTTGCACTTTCTATTCTGTTCACAACTAGGTCCATATCTTTTCATTTTGTCAGTGAGCTCCGATTCAGTTTCCTCATTCATCTGACTAGTAGGATGGAGAAACACTCTTAGGAAGTTTGTTGGACTGATTCCTTTTGATAGTGAATTGAGTCTATGTATCCCACACGTTTACCTTTTAGGCTCGCTAGTGAAAAACAGGTGCAAACCAAGGAGTAACAAAAGGCCAAATTCTGGCTAAAAACAGTGTCTAGTAGCACAGTTGAGAAACACACAAAATGCTGGCTATTGCAAATTTTTCCGTAGTTGCACCAAACAAAAACACACCCCCAAAATTGGCTTTTGACTGCTCTTGTTCTAGAAGCTTCAAGAGATTAGTTTCTAACACCAGCAAGAGTAGTTTTGAAGATACTTTGAATAGTGCTAGCAGGTGTCTGACTCTTGCCACTTCAGTCTGAGTGACCTGTGAAAACATGTGTTTTCCTACTTGTGGAACAGCATGAACCACAATCATTATATTATTTTAGAAAGGGGAAGCTAAAAGCCCATCTAACAAAGAGAGTTCTTGACCTGAAATTGGGTGTTTCTCTCTTAGCATCTTACATCAATTTTGGCTTGGAGGCTTCTAGGGGAAAAAGAAAGAAAAGCAAATGAAAAAAAATAATTGTTAAAGTTTAGGACCCACCGCTCCGGGTCTTGGCTTGAAACCTCTTGGTGATCCACAAGCCTTTTGGAAGTCCTCTGTCCAGACTACCTTGGTTGCATTTCCTTTCCTTGGTTTCTGGACTGTGGCCTGGGGTTGCTCTGTATGGGGAACACCACATGGGAAGGTTGGTCCCCTCACTCCATTCTGTGTTCTGCTAAGCAGGGATGTCCAGATCTGCTGATGAACAGCTGCTTAAAAGCGTTTAATAGCTACAAGATCTCTCCTTGGTGAATGGGTGAGGAGAGATCAGTATTGATTGCAGTAGGGCTTCCAGATTAGACATTAGTTTCAAGAGACTTTCTTCTTTTTCCTCCCAGGTTGTTTCACAGGCCAGAATCTTAGCACAACACATTCACTTTAATTGCCCTTCCGCTTGCTCCCACTCTGCAGTAGCTGTGACACCAAGCCTGCTTTAGCAAACACTCCCATACCATTTAGGAACATCCTCAGGTAGGATCTAAGGTTTGGTTAAGCTGATAAAATTGTGCAAATAAGAGATATCAGTTATTACTATGCTTCACTCCTGTCTGAGTCAGAATAGATATAAACTTTAATTCCTCTAAAATAGGTCCATGTGCTTATTTGCAGGGGTCCTTTACCATATCTCTGGTCTGGGCCTGCAGAATTGTCACCTCACAAGTGAAGCTAAGCAATGCTCAAGCAATGCTTGCTTTGGCAGAACACATCCCCAGGCTGGATATCCACACCAAGCTAGTTTAGATACCTGCACTTTTGATTCCTGCAGCTCCTTTGCTGTAGAAATTGCTGCTGTGCATGACCAGCACCTCCCTGCTCCAACCCAACACTTTTACTATACTCAGGGTGAAAGAAAACATATAGGCACGAGCAAACGTGACTGATCCCAGCATGCTCACTTCAAGTTATTCACTTTAGGTCCTATGAAAGCCAGCTTTGCAAATTTTTAACCACAGAGGCCTGTGGGAGAAATCAGTTCAAGGACCAATCCTGAAATCCCAGGTTTTGCTCAATTTCCCTGAGAATCAGCCAGGCTAGCAGTGCCGCTGGCAACAAGGTCTGGCACAGCATGAATTCATAGCAGTCAGAACATCAATGAACTTTTAGCTTTTAGATCTGACTTACCAAATCACTGCTCACCTCCATTTCCAGGTGAGAGTGGCCGAAGTTCTCCTGGATATGCCTCAGGTGGGAAGTTTAACCCCACAACTATGTCAGCCCCAGCAAAATAAATTAAATTGCCTTATAGCGCAAGTTAAGTGCGGGCAGGATTTTTGAGAAGGGGAAGGGATCTACACAGAGCAACTAGGAGAAAAGAAAAGCCTAAAGGTGTTCCCCTCCCTTTCATTACATGGTAGTGAGGGAGAGGGGAGAGTTAGCAAGGTTTCCTGTAGAAAAACTAATGCTGCAGCAGAAGAGGATGGGAGGAGGACTGTGCAGGAGTATGGGAAGGGAGAAGGCTGAGAAAAGGGTTAGCCAATTACAAGTCAGAGTCTGACCAGCTGTGGGATGCTGCAAGTTATTTACCTATGGGCTGGACTTCCAACTTCTCATCTACTAGTTGCTCAGGGCTCATCAGCTCACTTTGAGGGACATTAGGTATGCTTTCCCTCTGACTGACTGGACTGACCATTTCTTGATCTTTTTCATTCTGCATCTGTGCATATATATTAAGGCCAGGAATCTTCCTAAAACATTAACAGAAACCATCATTGTGGGGTACTCTGTCAGATGATATAGCATCAGCTTTTATAAACCAAGAAACAAATCACTGCAAAAAAAGAAAAACCAGAAAAACAAAACCCAAACACTTCTGTGAAAGGGCAATGGGGACAAGGAAATGGCTCAGGGAGGGTCATACCTTTTGAACTTGTAGATTACAAACACGGCTAGTCCCACAAAAACGACAGAGAGGAGCATCAGCATAGCTGAACCACTGTGACTGGGAGTGAGATCCACCAAGGGAGCTGCAAGAGAGGGAGAGAAGGTTAGAGCTGCCCCAGGTCTCATCTGTACACATGTTTCCAGGACTTTTCTCCACTTCTAATCCAGCTGAGGAGAAAGCTGGGGTCAGACCACTTGTGTTGCTCAACCTACCCTTTGATTTGAAGCCCCATAGCTTTCTCCTTAGAGACCTCTCCTCCGTGGCCTATTACAGGACTACCTGAAACATATTCTCTCATATTGCAGACAATTACCTAAGGTAGGTGCAAATAAGGTCACTTGGGTACCAAAACTAGCATTTTCTGGATAATTCTGGAGCTACCCATGAGTAACTTGACATGTTCTTTCTATTTTGCCTAGAGCTAGTTTCAGTAGCTCCCAATACATAGTGGATAATGAGCAACGGGGTCCTCAGTTTTACTAAAGCAACAATGCTCATCATTGTACTCTTTCTTCTGGACCAGAAGTCCAGTGCCCTTCACAGACACTGCCCTCAGCATCCATGCCTTACCATGGCAAGCTCTTCTCACATGTCTGACATTTTCAGTTTCTTCCTTTATCCCCTTCCTACTCTTCTGAACATCTACTCCCTTTCCTCCGGTGCCCTGCTCTCACTCGTACAAGTGCAGAGAGTGCACAGGCTCAAGAAAAAACAAAACAAAAAAAACCCTAATCAAACAAAAAGTCCCTCTGTGTTTTTCTTCAGAGTTTTGTGCACCACCTTTGCATAACCCCTTGCAAAATAAGGCCACAAGACAGACAGAAGCACGGTTTTCCTAGAAATACAAAGTAAATTGCATTAAATGGATGCAATTTCCATCACTCATACACACATAAACAGAAAGACATCTAGCATCTGAAAAGGGATACACATAGGTCCAGCAGTGTCAGTTGTTCATGCAGACACTAATAAAACATACTGTAGTCTGACATGCAGCTGTAGCTGTGCCATTACACAGAATGAATGCACACAGCCAATACATCCTCACTGACTGTCTCTATCTCATGTCACACACAGAACAAGGCATAGGTAGTACCTTCATCTGCAAAGCAATGAAAGTTAACTTGAACTGCTGCCATACACATCCTCCTTCTCTTGCCCCTCTTCACATGCACTGAATTAAGCCATCCTAAACCAGACCCAGAAGACATAACAAAACATGCACATACATCACATGCACACACGTTTTCAGCTGTCACACTCAGCCTGATAAAGCCAAAATCTATAAAGAGAAGTGAAAAAACTTCTCCTTCCCACATCAAGCAGGCTATCCTCAAGAAGGTGAGGCACCAGGGTGAAATGATCTGTTACTATGAATTCCTTGCACATCTCCACTCTGTCCTCTTTGCATCTGTATTTTGTGGGTCTCTGCAGTTCTGTGGGATGACAAAGTGGCTCTCCAACTGATTCAGGCTCAGCATCACTCAATGTTCTTGTTACAATGCTGTGCGGAGAGTCTGGTAATAAACAGCTATTTAACTGCTTTGTGAGGAATGTTGGCATATTTTACTCTGCTTTAGAGTTGAGGTTGTTGTCTGTTGGGTTGGGGACACTGGTTTGGTGTGGAAGGATTGAACATGATAAATGGATTGCAATCTGTTGTCCATAATTGCCATAAATTGATCCTTCCTCCAGTGTGGCCTGAACAAAGAAGGCGGAGGTGTGAAATGTGCTGAGGCCAATGCTGGTCATTCTTCTGTGCTCCAGGGAATGCATACGCTCATATATAACACACACACAGGCTCATTTCTACAGGTTCTGATTGAATATCCACACCAAGATAGTTTAGATACCTGCACTTTTGATTCCTGCAGCTTCTTTGCTGCAGAAGTTGCTGCGGTGCATGACCAGGAACGCACACACATGGACAAACATACATGTGCAGAGGCAATGGAACATAAATGTAGATATAGATATGCATACATGCGCACTTACAAAAACACATGCTGAGCTTTATGGTTCAGTCAACCACAGCCCATAGCTGCCCAGAGTCGAACACTGAGTCATAGTGAAAAGGCTGGGAAAGAAGGGATATCACAGACCAGAGCAGCAACTCTGGGCCACGTGCATCACCCGAGATTTTCTAGCGACTGCTGCACATGCTGGTTTGTGTTCCAGGTTTCTCTGTTTTATTTAATTTGATTTTTTTATGAAAACTTGGATTTTAAAAGGACAATTCTTCTTCCTTGACAACAAAAACAATAGTTTTCAGCAGTCAAGTAAATCTCTCTTTTGGCGTTTTGTCAAATTCTAAACTATTCCCAAGTTTTGATGTAATGAAATTGGGCCTTTTATTTAGACAAGGAAATGAGTCATGACCTCTGCAGCTTGATAAGGAGCCATAGTCCCCAAATACCTCACAGTGGCTGCTCTCTGGACTTTTTAATATCTAGTTTGGCAGTTCAGACTCATTTTGCATTCTTACCGAATCATATTTCTGTGAGAGACAAAATTCCGTAGTGTTCCTATAGGACATTGTGAAGGCAGTTACAACAATCACTCACACCTCACCAGCAGCTTTGAAGGGAAGTACAACAAAGCCTACCTTGCAGGACAAATGAGTGTTTGCATCTGTTATGGACAAAAATTACTCATTCTTGATGTGTGTGTACATACAAATAAAAATGTGTATTTTTGGTAAGCACAAAGATCATGTATGGATATGTGATTTTAAGTGTCACCTGTTTTCACTACATGAATCACAGAATCACAGAATATTAGGGATTAGATGAAATCAGGAATGTCCCTTCAGTAACAAGAGGTAAAGTTAAGCCTTTCCCAGGAACATCTGATTCTTTCTAACTATTTTTTTTTTTTTTTTTTTAGAAAAGGCCTACAGCATATTCAGGGCCAGAGTACTCATGTGTAAATTTTAATCTGGGATTTGATCTTGACTTTAATGAACATTGATCAAAATGGAAAACAGCCATGTGCATTGGCAGAGTAAATGCTCATAAAAAAATTTTTAAAATTATGAGCAACTCCATGTATGAAGCTCACATTAAGATACTTTCAGATATGTTTCTTTTAAGAGATGGGCACTGAGCATCTTCTGAAAGTACAGATAGTATCACTGGACATCACTGAAAATTCAGGTCAAGGATTGCTTCTCTAATAAGAACATGAATATGAATCACAGAATCACAGAATGTTAGGGATTGGAAGGGACCTCAAAAGATCATCTAGTCCAATGCCCCTGCCGGAGCAGGAATTGAATGTATATAAAATGTACATTAATTTAAATTTTAAATGTAAAGTCACACAATTCTGTGTCATATGTCTATTACATTTTTTTACAACCTACAGGAGGAAAAAAAAAAAAAATCAAACAAACTGCCTTCTCAAGCTGTTGTGGGGTTTGTTTTTTTTTTTTTTTTTTCCCTTTAGAGATTACTCAGCTGTGCTGCATCTCTGATTTTTTATGCTTTTGTTTCTAACATGTCTAAAACTAAGCATTTGATCATCTGTTCCACAGCTAATGGAAAGCAGAACCATGCAGCAATACTCCCAGGGCAGATATTAGCAAGTTCTGTTTAGGAAAAATAAAATATTGCAAACACCAAGGCTTTCTTCTTTGGGGATTTAACTGCAGTCAAGTTACACCCTTTCTTAACAGTCTCTTTTTCCTTTCCTTTATGGACAAGGCAGCACCTGGACGGACTCCAGCTTGGGTAGACTTACTGATACCACAGAAAGTTTTTTGTAGAGCAGTTTGCTGGTACAAGTGAACTGCAGCTTTTAGTTTACAAGTTAGCAAAATAAGCTGATACCAACTGATCAGAATTATCATCCAACTGATCAGAATTATCAGCAGCTCCTGAAGAAAAGGAATTCCTAAGAATCCTGAGCAGGGATTTGTTTGCCCCATCTCTTGTAATGGTTTTATAGGGTCTGTGCTGTGAAATGAGGGTTTAGCATTTAGAATAGACAGAGACACATGTAATTAAATATCGTGACTTTCATAGAATGGTTTGGGTTGGAAGGGACCTTAAAAATCATCTAGTCCCAACCCCACTGCCATGAGCAGGGACACCTTCCACTAGACCAGGTTGCTCAAAGTCTCACGCAACCTGGCCTTGAACACTTCCAGAGAGGGGGCATCCACAACTTCTCTGGGCAACCTGTGCCAGTGTCTGACCACCCTCACAGAAAACAATTTATTCCTAATGTCTAATCTAAATCTGCCCTCGTCCAGTTTAAAGCCATTACCCCTTGTTCTGTCACTACCTGACCTTGTAAAAAGTCGCTCTCCCCAGCCTTCTTGTAGCCCCTTCAGGTACTGGAATGCCACAATAAGGTCTCCCTGGAGCCTTCTTTTCTCCAGGCTGTACATCTTTGGAGATGGTTTATTTTGAGATAGGATTAGTTAAAGTCCAAACTGCCTAATCTTATGTTCGTGCATATGTAAATTAACTCTAGTCTTTCAGAATGCTAAACAACTTCTGAACTGTGCTTATTTGCTTTGAATATTCGTTGACTCTAGAATATTTGAATATATCCAAGGCTAGCTGGTAACCTTTGCAGTGTGTGATCCAGGCTGAGTATGCCACAGTGCTGCTTAGCTGTTGAATATTTCAGAGACAGACAAGAAGTATAAATTTCTACTGCTATTTATACTGCATTTCCAAGAACAACAGTAAATTCTTGCACATAAGTAAACAAAAGGATTAGCTGTAAATGCAAAAGCCACTATATCTTTTTGGCATGATAAAGAAAAGGGAGGTAGAGCAGGCTTTTTAATGTCTGCCCATACACTGAGTTCTTCTTGTGACATAAAAACAAGAAATGTTTAAAATACAGCTGATAGCACAGTACTACAATCAAGGAATATATTGCTTGCTGTGCTACAGAGCAACAGAGAGGGTGTACACAGAAAAAGGATACTGACCTGCTGTTAAATGGGCAGCATGGACAAGGATTCGAACCCCTGGCTTCAACTCAAAATAGACCAAGTTTTCATTCAGCTTCTGGATCAGTGTTTCTGAAACCTGGAAAAAAGGAGAAAGTAAGAAATGTATTTGTTTCTTGATCATTGGTTTACATTGCTAAAAAGTGGGTAGGAAATGGAGCTACATGCAAAGCAAAGATTTTGCAGAGGCACCAGACTGACTACAATTTCCTATCACCTTCCTTCAGCTGTCACAAAGGGAGTTTGTGACAGCTGAACACATCTGCCAGTACTATGTCCAGAGTGGTTTGTATATGGTTAGAAATGAACAATAGCAACAAGTTGCCCTGTCACACTTCTGTAGAAATGGCCCAGCAGCAAAGAAGTAATTGAGTCCCAAAGGAACATTACAACAACGTGTTAAGTGTCTGCAGGACCAGCCAGCAACAGCACATCAGTGAACTCTATTTACTATTCAAGCAGAGAGAAACATTTAAATTGTTAATACTCATTTGCTCATAACAAATAACTTCTTGCTCACTGAGCAGCCAGCTCCGTGATCTTAGAGCATGTTCATAACATGTGATATACCTGAATCAAAATGAATAGTTAACCCAGCTTGCACTTAAATTTCAAGTCCTAAAACCAAATTTCATTGCATCCAGCTCTGAGTTTTAAGCCATCTGCTCCCTGATCCTTAAGAACCAGCTCAAATCTGAAAGCATTTACTGACTAGAATCTGGCTTAAAAAAATGCATGTTCCATCTGTTTTTATGTGTTACACACAGAGAGAATATGGTCTTATGTTCTCTCTTTCATGGAAAAGACATTCCACAGAGCTTTTAGATCGCTAGATTATCTTGCTATAACTCTGATAACAACAATAGAGTTCTAGAAAAATGAAGCAGTCTATTCTTCCTTAGAGGACACAAACAGAAAAGAGATAAGACCCCACAGAATTTGTATTTTTACAGTGAAGAAGCCAAGCTTTGGTCCAATCTGTTGGTAAACAGTCCTTTTTTAAAGTCAGTTTGTCACTATATGCACAGAGCCACTTCCTCCATATCACTCAATTATCTCCAAGAAGTTTCAGACATATTGCCATTAAAAGCAAAACATCCAGACAGATTAATCAATGAATGGAAGCCTATAGACATGGTGTTGATAGTTTATTGTGCCTTTTGTATGTTCATTTGCTAGATGTTTCAAATATTTCGCATTTTCTTACAGCAAGGAACAATTTTCCAATTGAACATAGCCACTGTTCTGCATGTTGGTTTACTAGGGAGAGGTGATTGGAGAACTGCAAAAGAACACCCCCACCCCATAACCCTTAATATGCGGTTGCTGAGAACGTTGTGTTTTTATAGCCATACCAAGATCAAGAGGAACTGTATTGTAGTGCTCACCACTTAATTTAATTTGTTTTAAATAAATCCTTATTCCTTCTTTAAGATTAATGAAAAATTGTCAGAAAAAAAGAACATTCCAATAATTTTTACACCATCTTTTTAATGTTCTTCATTTTTGTCTGGTTGAGTTATTTCAGTAAATGCTACCCAGAAATGATTAGATGTTCCTTGGCTATCATTCATCACACTATGAGATTTATCTGCCTCTTTTATTTTTTTTAACATTCTTAATGGTTCTTTCAATGCTCTTGGCTTGTACACTTTATTTCTGGCTGCTGATCACTTGAATAGGTGCCTTTGGTCCAATATGAATTTGGCAATAACTCTTACAGTCATTTTATTTATATTTTTTTAATATATCTCTTTAAAGTTTACAATTTTTTCATGAGTGCCAGAATGAGCAGTAAATATATTTCTTCCAATAGCAAGAAAAAATACCACCTGCTTACAAAGAGCCATCTGCTGAGCTCAGAGCAGCAGGGATGGTGACACAAAGATGCACAGTACATAAAGAAAGCCTGGGAAGCAAATTAAATCCCTCTTTAAGAATTTGAGCATATTAATAACCAAGACTGACAACTATAAAGAGTGCTTCATGTCTAAAACTGGAGCAACAGATGCAGATCGATATGCTATAAGCCAGGTACATTAATGGCTCATGGAAATAATGGGAAAAATATCATCCTGGTCATTTCCAGGCCTAAACATGACCTAACAATTCTTCTCCATACCCCTGCAGGAATTATCTTCCTTTGTGCTCTGAGATTCTAATGTTACTGGAGCAGCTGAGCCTATGAAAAAAATCAACTGCAAGACAGTAAACTGAAGAAAAGAGCTAACCACATTGTGTCATTCCTTTTCAACACATTGTGATAGCTGCACAAAATGGTCAGGGAAACAGTAGAGGTTAAAACCATATGTGATGCCCCCTATACAAAAACAGGCTTAATGTGATGTGGAACTAACAATGCAGCTAGCAAGTGTTGCTATCTAGTATTGGAGAATGGTTTCATCCAGGATCTGGGCAAGAAATTGAAAAATAAGAGAACTTTGAGAAAGTGAGCATGAGAAGAGACCAGAGACTTTGTTTGGCACCAGTGACACAAAGGAACATTGAGATCTCACCTGGCCTGCCTGAGGACTCCTGCAGTGCAGAGTCAGGAGAGTAAAACAACACCAGCAGGGATATTACAGCTGTGAGGTGCCGTGGCAGCCTCCCAGCAGGCAAGTTGATTGTGTGAGAGAAATCTCAACCAATATTCTTGTCTAGTAAGCCGATGAAAAGGAATAATAAGAAGGGGAGAGGCAGTAAGAGTGAAGGAGTAAGAAAAATGAAGAAAGGCAGAGAGAAACAGTCACAACTGAATTTTATTATTACTGTATTGCATTGTTACCTGATCGTGAATGAGGACCGCATTGTACTACATCCTGTACAAATGCAACTCAGAATAAAATTATTTCTGCCTGAAACGATCAGTATCTCAGCAGAAGCTTGAAATAGCCGTCACTGTTCCAGCACTGTATGCAAAATGTCAAAACAGGCAGCAACTGTTCATGCTGCTCAGAGTCCATAGTATATTTCCTTGGCTCAATTAATTATATGCTCTCCCAGTAGCTTTTTGGGTGAAGCTTTTTTGCCTGGGTCTTTGTTGAATCTGAACAAGTCAAAAAATGAGTAACAGCCTGAGACCTTCAAAAGGACCAGAAGTTCTTGTGAGAATCAGACATCTGCCTTCCTCAGGCAGCTCTGGAGATTCCTGACACACACATCTGAGGGAAGAACAGATGCATTCAGACATGTTTTTGAAGTGTTTGCTTGCTTGGCACAATATTTTCATTTCTCTTTATGTAGAAAGTTAGATTCTCTTAGAAATAGACATATAGACAATATAGAAACAAGAAGAAAAATGCATTTCTGTACTTCTAAAAATTATCTGAAATAGAAACCATACAACATGGTTTATGAACACCAGTATTTGAGGTCAACAAGCAGGTTCCACACAGCTAAAGGGCCAAGTTCACACTGGGATTGGACACTGCTCTACAAAGTTGGACCTGACTATGTTTCTGGTCCTCACATGGTCCCAAGGGGATCTGTGGACCGCAGATCACACAGGACACTCACTTTGAGATTGGATTAGTGGCTTTTCTGCCTTTCTTATTCTATCAAGTCTGTTTCTACCTCAGCGGATCACATGTTATCAGACTTTAACCTAGGAGTGGTTCTGACTCTTGCAATTTGTTTACAACATTAATAAAGCATCTTTGAAGTGAACCTCCACACAAAGGCTGATCTCAGTCACCATGGTAATGAAAAGGGTTCAATGGGTAACATTTTGGGTCTTGTGCTTCCCTTTATTTCTGCATTCAAAGTGGAACCATGGATGCATATTTATTTTAAAAGCAGATAAGGAAACATTAAACTACTTTGGCCTGTTTCAAAAATAGCTATGCAACTCCACTTGAACAGCTATACCTTCAGCTAGGGAACTGGTTGGCCTCAGGTTTGTTCCCGTTCCCCTCTTACTCCTGGAGATGCAACTAACTCAGCTGAAGACAAAACATCTTAGAATAGCAACCTCCTAATTTATAGTCTTCAAGAGTCTCCCTTGTGAAAATAATTAGCTTTCAAAATTAGTTTTAGTCCTTAACTGAGCCTCATTGATTTTATCTGCTTCATTTGCAGAATTAAGCATGATGTGCAAAAATAATTCAGTAATAGAAACCATTCTTCATGTATCATTTTTCATCAAAGGACACATAATGAATAATAATAACAGACAATTTGTGAAGGAAAAAAAGAGATTCCAATTTAAAAATGAAACAAAACAAAAATTAATTTGGCTTCTCTTAGCATTTTGTCAGAATTAGGACTGTGAAAGAACCATGTGCACCAAGAAACAGAATTATCATTCAGAAGGGTGAAACCTCTGCTGTAAATTAGTTTAGACTAACTGAATGTGATTCAACTGTGTTAATATGTACTAGCTAAGAATCTAGGTAATTGTATAGATACTGTGTAAGGATCTCAACTAACGAGTGCTACATTTTTATTCAATTCATTGAGTAAATCAATAAACAACTAAGGGAAGAATTATGCACATTGATTGGGAGGAAGCAACTTGAACCAGCATTACAAAAGTGAATCAGGAGTCAGAGTAAATGTGGATTACTTTAAACTGTGCCACTCACCCTGCATAACCTTGATTACTTCACATGAGACCTCTAAAGCTTACTTGCCTTAGCACTAAAAAG